TGTAGGGAAGTGTCGATATTAGAACAGCTAATCCAAACAATGATGAAAGTACTTCAGACACGACTTAATGATTCAGAGTTTACAATATACAAGGATCCTAATTTTTGGTTGTTGCTGTTGCTGTTAACCTATTTGCTGGTTTGACTCTGAAGCTGGGTGATAATGTAAACATCTACAATTCTTGTTCTTTGTTTTAATGTATGCTTTCATGCATTTAAAGAACCCTCCACCCAAAACAACCAAATTATCTACTTTGGACCCAGGGAACAGGATAAAAGCATATGCCTGATGTCATCACCACTATTTTGAGAAAAATCCACACAGTGGAAAACAAAAGTGGTAAGAAAGAGCAAAGACAGTTAAGGAACTTTACATTCCAAACTCCCAGTCAACAGGGAGAAAGACCAGAAATTTCACTCCACATTTTACCCTCCCTGGACTTAAATGGACCACAACTGGAAAATCCACACAAAATCAAATAAAATAACCCATCTCCAGTCCAAGACCCGAAAATAACCAAGCAGAATTAGAACTGTGAAGCTTATTCTTTAGAATGCTACGTTGACCAAAATAATCCAGCACACCTGCTACGAAAAAAAAAAAAAAAAGGAAAAGGAAAATAAAGACATCTCCCTGTGAGAAGAGACTCCCCTTCAACCCCAGGTTCCACAAAGTGAGAACTATACTAAAATGTTCTTGACTTGTTTCCTTTGGGATTCAAGGGGCAGCCAGTAATTGAAGTTGTCATGCTCTCTGCAGCACGCCTCGGGAGACCAGGTGAAAAATTAGAACATGAGTCTAAGAGTAAATGCCCTGGAACAAACAGTCTGCCTGATGTCACCGCAACATGCATGTTCTTCCTCTGAAACCTGCTTATTTTCTCTTAGGAAAGTCTAACCATTCCAACAGTCTCAAAGCCTTTTATCTCCCAGAAGGAGGATCGAAACTATGTTGTCAACTCAGAAACGTGCCCTCTCATCGCTGCCCTACCACCCTCTGAAAAGGATGGAAGACACAGTTTGCAGAACAGGCACCCTGAGATTCCAAAGGGAAAGAAGCAATGAGGTCATGCAGTCTACTCTGCCAGCCAGTGCAGGGTTCCTCCCGCAGCCACAAATGCCACTGCCCAAGTTGTAAAGCCCACAAGAAAGATACAGGGCCAGTCTGGACCCACAGGCAGGTGCTTTAAGGCGCCACTGCCCACAGCCGACTCCGACATAACTCACACGCGTGCTGTCTTCACCGGGAAAGATGAAATAGTTTGCTAGGTGGGCCGATCAGCCCGGCCCTTCCGGATTCTGAGAAGTGCACCTCAGCACGCCGAGGATTCATCTTGCCCAAATTTGTCAGTCACCCTCCACAGATCACCTGCACACTGCTGCAGTTTACCATCGTGCACACATTTCCCTGCCCGCCGCTTCAAGGACAAAGAGAGAGCGCTTATGCTTCCATCACAGGCGAGGAGCTCAGGTTTATGGAAACAATAAAAGAAAATGAAAAGACAAACAATCCAGACACATGGCCCCCGGCATTTTCGTCAGCTGGATCACCCCAGACGTGGATCCAGGAAAACAGGAGAAACGCAGAGAGAAGGTCACTAAGCTTAGCTGGGAAGAGAGCTAGCGTTCACTTCACTGCAGCAGGGCTGCTCATTGAATGCAAGCACTTACCATAAAAATAGAAAGAGTCAGCAGAAGGAGAAGGGATCCTTCCTCAGTGTCGTAGGCAGAAAGAAATCCACCGCGGAGCTCCAGACACGGGATGAAGCCAACAAAGTGATGAAAGACGGTAAAACCAACACACACAAGTCCTTCTCAGCCTCCCCTCGGGCCCACATGCAGTTGTTTGTGCTGTGAAAAGCCTGAGAAGTCGGGAACAGGACTCTCCCGGCAAGCCTGAACGCAAGCAGCCTGGTGGATTTCAGAGCATTACGCCCAGGGCTCTCCTCTCCCGGGGGGCAGGGGCAGCATCACTGGGGGAGGCTGGGCACCAGGCAGGGGTCGGGAAGGTGAGAAGAGGGGTGGAAAGGAGCCTCTTCGGAGTGTGAGGAACTGCCAGCGAGAATATCAGTATTCCCTATCAGTTATTGCCAGCGACCAATCAGCCCAGCCAAGGGGGCCGTGTCAGTGTGACAAGAGAGCAGCAGATGACAGCCGGTTCTCAGAGAGGCAGGACAGCCCCCTGCCTCCACTGGAGTTTGGCAGGATTGGCATCTTACCCTCCTCTGCCCAGTTGCTGATAATATTTGCTTTGTTATTAAAAATAAGACCCAAAGCCCCAGTCATACCAACCACTCAGGAAGTTTCCTAAGCATCCCACCGCATCTCTGCAAGAAGCCAGACTCGAAAGCCATCCCAAATGATTATCTAATGGTATTTCACAGACCAGACAGCCCTGATGATGTGCGCAGAGAGGTCACCACGAGTACAATAATGACTCTTTGGACGTGGGCTGCTTTATGCCCAAGGCACAGGATGAAATACCAGGGACCGGGATCCCTGTTTCATAGGTGGGGCATTTAGACAGAAAAGGGTTAAAGGTCTCTCTGAAATCTCTCAGTTTCAGTATATTTTCTTGTATAATATATGTATAGAAGTACTTGTTAGAGACAGTTTATAAAGATAGTAACATTTGTTTTTGAGCTTTCTTATATCACCCATAAGACAGAATATGTGGACTTGGGTAAAAATCCCTGTATAATAATTCACAGGCACACTGAAGTTTGAAAAACTCTGAGCTAGACTAATGAAAGAGGCAAAGGAGCAAATTCTTTAGTAGTGACTAAGCAGAGAACATTATACTTTTCCTGCCTGCCTTTCTCCCCATTCTATTTTAATATTGAACCTGTAACCTCATTATGTATGTATTAATTTGGTTTTGGCTGTGATGATTAAATTAAATACGGGAGTAGGTTCTAGAGTTAATGCCAGTTGAATTGGATTTCACAGTAAAACCTCAGAACTGTGTACCTTGGGGAGACTGTCTTGGGTCATCTTTTGATCTTTGCAAGAAATATTAACTCCTTGTGCTAGCCAAGAGTTAATAGGAAGACACAAATGTCCCTGGGTTTGTTTTTCAGGTGGCTTACATGATAGAGTCCTTAATTTTAGTTCTGCTTTAACCTACATGTTGAAGGATCATTTGGAAATTTTGCAGCAATCTCTACCCAGAGGCAAGCTAACTTTGGGGAGCCTGAATACTGCGAAGTAAAACGAAGGGCTAAGTTCCAAGAAAGAAGTTAACTCACTACCCAAATGAGTTACAGCAGGAGGCCGTAAAAATGTTCCACATCAAAGATGAACAGAATAAAATGAAATTTTTGAAATGAAAAAAGGACAGTTTTGTCAGGTTCATCCTATGTGTATTAAACAAGGAAGACCTGGGAGATTGAGTCTCAAATTCTGTTGTGTTATTCAATTCAGTTCAACTCCAATCAGCAAACCTTTAACCACAGCCAACCATGTGCTGGTAGCACAGAAATAAAAGGGGCAGGCCCTGCCTTCAAGAAGTTTATAGTTTCATGGACAAAATTAAAACTTCTTTTCAAAATTTCAACACTGCAAATCTTGCCAAGACAGAAAATGTTCTACTATTTTAATGTCCCTCAGATAAAACCAAGCCATGAAGTTGGATTTTGGACCCAAAGTTCTAAATTAGCCCTATCAGGTGTTTTCCATAACCAAAACCATTTGAGAAAGATAAATGCACAATTTATTTTTTTAATTAATTAAAACATGAAAAGGTTTTTTAACTGAATGTTTGCTTTTATCAGCATCAATAGTTTCTGATGCTGCAAAAACATGGGCAGCATAACAAAGAATATATTTAATAAGGGAATAGTATTTAAAGCTCCCAAAGTAATTGAGATTAATACTGTTTATGGAACAGGTTCAATACCTTGAATACATAGGGTTACAATGCAGCACGAAAATGATGAAACTACAGAAGTACAAATTACTTAGTTGATTAAATAATTGCATATCTATATAACAATCGGGTCAATGAAAACAAGTATTCCAGTCACTTGCTGAAATGCAATTAATTTTTAAAATTTGGCCACTTCACTCCTCCCTCCTCAAAATATAGAAATACCTCCCATTTCAGGTGGCAACAGTTAATTTTTTAAGTCGCAAAATATTTATCCAAGTCAATTAAACATGGACAATTTCAGGGACTGTATCTTGCTCACTGGAGTAACAACGGTACTAAAATATTTGTTAGATGGCCATCTCAATGGTCAAGAGAATCTGGCTAAAATTCTACAACAATATGATTTAATGCCTTTATTTTTTTTTTTTTAAGACTACAAGGTAATTTGAATTATGTACCTACACCTGTCATTTGTTTGAAAAAGAAAAAAGATAGCTCTTTCAGGAAATTTGCTTCTGAGTAGCATGCTGACAGAGCTGTATAAAGTCTGAAAGCCAAGGATTCTTAAAGCTCAGTCTTTCAACACTGTAAATGGATTCTACTCTGTAACCAGCCCGAAGTAAAAACATACCTATTTTCTAGATCACCAAGGAGATAAATGGCTGTGTAATTCCATTTTTGACATCAGACACTTAACAGGAGGCATGAGAATCAAGAATTTTCTTTTTTATTGAGTTATAATTGATTTACAATATTCTATTAGTTTCAGTTGTACAACAGTGATTCAAAACTTTTGTAGAGGGCTTCTTTGGTGGCACAGTGGTTAAGAATCTGCCTGCCAATGCAGGGGACACGGGTTTGAGCCCTGGTCTGGGAAGATCCACATGCCACAGAGCAACTAAGCCCGGGCAACTACTGAGCCTGTGCTCTAGAGCCTGTGAGCCACAACTACTGAAGCCCATGCTCTGCAACAAGAGAAGCCACCGCAATGAGAAGCCCGTGCACCACAACAAAGAGTAGCCCCCGCTCGCTGCAACCAGAGAGAGCCTGTGCACAGCAACGAAGACCCAACACAGCCATAAATAAATAAAAATTTTTTAAAAAAACCAAAATTTTTGTAGCTTATACTCCATTTAACATTATAAAATATTGGCTATGTTCCCTTTGCTCTACAATATATCCTTGTAGCTTATTTTATACATAGGAGTTTGTACCTCTTAGTCTCCTACCCCTGTCTTGCTCCTCTCCTCTTCCCTCTTCTCACTGGTCACTACTAGTTTATTCTCTATATCTGTGAGTCTGTTTCTGTTTTGTTATATTCATTCATTTCATTTTTTACATTCTACATATAAGTGATAACATACAGTATTTGGCTCTCTCTGTCTGGCTTATTTCACTAAGCATAACACCCAGGCCATCTACAGATTCAATGCAATCCCTATCAAAAGACCAAAGAAATTTTTCACAGAACTACAACAATTAATTCTAATATTTGTACGGAAACACAAAAGTCCTTGAATAGCCAAAGTAATCCTGAGAAAGAAGAACAGAGCTGGTGGTATCACGTTCCCTGACTTTAGACTATACTTCAAAGCTACAGTAATCAAAACACTATGGCACTGGCATCTGTGGTACAGACACACAGATCAATGGAACAGAAGGAATTTTAAACAACATTCTGCCAATCAATGGTTTTGAAAACTAAGTTATAATCTCCCTAAAGGAAAAAGCCTGCATCTCTTTTGCCTAACTTCTATAAACTGGTGTCTAAAGGAGCTAATATTTACTGAACCCTCATTTGTGCCAGACTTAATTCCAGTGACTTCACACCTCTTTTAGTCTTCACAACACTCATAGGACATGAGTATCATCTTCACTGAAGTAACTGGGGTGCAGGGAGTTGAAAGCTTTCCCAGGTGGCAATGCCAGTATATGAACCACCAGAATAGCCTCAAAATGCTGCTTCTCTTTCATGGAAACATTGATCTGAACATGGAAGACTCCCCTGCAGATGTTTTTGACTGAATGTAGAGATTATTTTGGGACCCTTCTCACAGTGTTACATGAATTTGGGTGAAAAAGGAATGAAATGAATCCAAGCTAAAGCAGAAAAACCCATTTTACTTCAGAGATTAAGTGTAACCCTACTTTGCAACAGAAATAAATTCCTGATGCTTATAATTTAAAGAGCAAGCAATCTGTATTTGTTGACTTTTTTTTCTAACTCTTGACCCCACATTACATTTTTAAAGCCAGGATGAGTAGTCCTCAATTAATAAAAAAGTAGAAGAAAGAATATTTTAGAAATGTGTGAGATCTGACATAAATATTATAGTCCTTTATCCAATACCTAAATTCTCCTTCAGCATTCAGCAGGAGGCCAGAAACAGAGAATAGGTTGCTCTGCTAATGTTTCCCTACTAGAGGTCACTGGCTGAGAATGATTTCCCTAAAGTGCTTAGTAGGAGGGCTTTCAAATAGGCAACAACAGTTCCAAATACATAAGAGGTAAGTAATCTGCAGGATATAAATATTATCATGCCTCCAACTCTTCAAAAATTTGATTGTATTCAGCATTTCTCAGCCAGAAGATTCCTATGGGATCAAAGATCAAATCATACAGAAAGGATCTATAAGATCACAGACCTATAACATTTTCTCTTTTTGAGGATGAAAAAAAATAAATCAATGGCTGCCTGGAAGAATCAGGGAGAACTGGGCTGAGTCTAGGGAGGCCAAAATAAACAGCGTATGTATGTGTACAAATGTAACACTAGTGTGTATGTCCAAAATCCAATCAGTGTGTCTTCATATCCAATCAGTCCTTCAGTCCCAGTGTCACATTTTCTCTCAACACATAATTTGGGATTACAACCAATTCAGGGCTTCATTCTTCCTCCTTCAGGACTACAACAGTTTCTAACCTTTCCTCTGTTCCAGTCCCATCTCCCTTTGCCAATAGCACTTGCTTCCTAAGACAAAGAAAATAGAATCATGTCATCCCCTTGCTAGTAAACTTGGGATGGTCAAGCCAAATACAGCACCACCTGAGCCTGGCATTCAAGGCCCTCTGCAATCAGACCTCAGTCTACCAGCCTCCTTTCCCACTACGATATCCTATATATTCCATGCTGCAGATATACCTGATTACTTACTATTCCTCAGAGCCATCATACTCTTTTATTATAGTATTCTTATCTG